CCACGCTTAAGCCCATTGATGCTGCCACTTGGCCAGTGCATCTCACTGGGGACCTTCCTCTTTTTCTCTGACATCCTTCTCCAGAGACTGGTCCCTTCTGACAATATGTCCAAAGTATAAGAGACGAAGTTTGGTCATGTTGGCCTCCAAGGAACACTCTGGCTGCATTTCTTCCAACACAGATCTGTTAGTTCTTTTGGCAGCCCATGGTACTTTCAATATTCACTTCCAACAGCATAATTCAAAAGCATCAATTCTTCTACAGTCTTCCTTATTCACTGTCCAGCTTTCACATGCATATGAGGTTATTGAAAATACCATGGCTTGGGTTAGGTGCACCTTAGTCCTCAAGCTGACATCTTTGCTCTTTAACACTTTACAATGGTCTTGTGCAGCAGATTTTCCTAATGTAATACATCATTTGATTTCTTGACTGTTGCTTCCATGAGTGTTGATAGTTGATCCAAGAAGAAAGAAGTCCTTGACAACTTCAATCTTTTCTCCATTGATAAGAATGTTGTTTATTGGTCCAGTGGTGAGGATTTTATTTTCTTTACATTGAGATGCAATCCATACCGAAGGCTATGCTCTTAGATCTTCAAGTGTCTTCTTAGTGGTATATATTTTGTAAATGATGTGTTATAATTGATGCTGTCTTAAATTTTAAAAAGTATGGCTTATATTTAAGACACTGAATTAGGTATTCGTAGGGGCCGAGATATGACCTCACAGATCATATAGATACTGGAGTGGTATCACATATATATAACTAGTAATGAGGAGAATCACCTAACTGCACTGATGACTCAGTTGTACCTGGTACTTTCTCAGTTGGCTTAATTTTTTTTTTTTTTAAAGCAGAATTAATGGAAAATTACAAACATTTAAAACATTCAGATTCTTTCTATAAGATGAATACAAAGTTGGGGTAATTATCTAAATACTACTCAGCAACAACAATTCTGCTTAACACAAACAAGCAAACACACTGACTATAAATTCAAAGAACCAACAGTCTGACCGATCATCAAAGGTAATCAAATGCAGCAAGTAACAACTTTCCTATTTTTTTTCCTGAAGAAACAAACTATGAATATAGAGTCTAATTTTATAGCTAAATAAATAATTCATTCATTCAGCTATTTATCCTTTGAGAAACATTTGCAAATGAAAACAATGGTATCTGGGTGGGAAAATGATGCACATTCAGAAAATAAGGCTGCTCTTCTGGTTCTGGGCTACAGCAAAGGCAGTCAGGTAGGGAAAGCTCTGGTGAGAAGGGAGGGGGATCTCACAAAGGAAACGTTCATATACCAGACCCACAGCTTTTGAACTATCATAAGATCTAGTATTTCCGTCTCCCGAACTCGCATTTTTGAGAAATCATGCTGCTAAGGAAAAAACAGGCATTTTGAGACTCTTGCCCGTGGGACAGCGGGTCACTCCAGTGACTGCAGAGTTTAGAGGGCGGGGCTAAGGCCAGCCCATTCTGAAAGCGGTGTTTCCAGCAGGAAGTAAAAAAAGGGGGGAACCTGAACCAACAAAGCCAGAAGAAGTGACATAACTATCTCCCCCTAAAATCTCCCTGCCCTGGCATAAGATCTCAGTACGATCATCAGGCATGAATGTTTACCCACAGCACAGAGAGAGGGAGAGAGGTGGCGACTTTTGACTTCATCCACCATCTCAAATCTGAAGCCCTGCATCTAAGCCACCCTGCCCCCAATCCCAGGTAGCAGCGGGGATCTTCCAGCTATTGTTCTGGTGGGACAGGGTAAAGATTAAAAACTCCAGCTACAGGCGGCTGCCTGAGTTCACTGGGCAGAACAAACTCCAGGCAACCTGTAAAAACCCAACAGAACAGGTCTCAACCATCCCAAGATTGACATTGAGCACAGGCAGAAAACTGACAACCAGAGATAAAAATAGCGGTCGACCTTTTTCCCATTAACTCCCCAATATATATCTGTCCACCTATAAGGCAGTGGCTAGAGGAGAGTCCTGAAAGAGGGGTCATCCCCACCCCTGCCGGAGGCTTCTATTTGCACACACACTGATGGTGTAGCACGAAAAATTAACCAAAGCCGCATCTCTGCTCCAAAGTGGTGATTTCTGTCCATGCATTTATATTACTTCTGCTTTTGATCCTTTTGATCACACATCTTTCTTGGAGGTGGGAGCTTTTCCTCTCTATGTCACCTAAGAAGAAGTAGCAATCATGGCCATATACCAAGCTATAAGCATACACCATAATACTACACCACTAAGACAAGACCTAACAACATATGTTACGCATTACAGACGATAAGGGAAGCCCATCTCCCGATCATAATAATAATAATAATAAAATAATAACCATGATCAATAAGAAACAATCAACTTTATCGAAACACATCCAAAAACAGAAGAGAGGAGCTGACGCAAATGAGCTGGAGACAGACAAAGGCTTTATAAAGGAGGAGGAGCGGGTTCTGGATATGCCTTAGAGGGAATTCAGAAGAATGATATGGAAACAAATTCAAATACTCAGAAAAGGGGTCGAGGAAAATAAGGAAGAAGTAAGGAAAGTACTGCAGGAACAATCAAATAGGATTGACACAGCATTGGAAACAATTCAAAAACTGCAAAAAGATATCCAGGTGATCAATAATAAGATATCAGAAATAGACAATAGGCTGAAAGGGGAAAGGAGCAGACTGGAAGAGATGGAAGCCAGAACTGGTGAACTGCAAGACAAATCCCTTAATACTGCCAAGGTAGAAGAGCAAGCAGCTAAAAGGATAATACAGTCTGAAGAGAGTCTAAGATTCATACTGGATAACATGAAGAGGAATAATATAAGAATTATTGGCATTCCGGAACAAGAAGAAGCAGAGAAGTCCACAGAGGAGATAGTTGAAGAGCTTCTGGAAGAAAATGACACTAACATCTTGAAAGACTAAAAGATATGCATTCAAGAAGCCCAACGTACCCCAGGAAGGATAGAACCCAAAAGAAAGTCTCCAAAATCAAAGACAAGGAAAGAATACTAAAAGTGGCCGGGGAGAAGAGAAATATAACTTACAAAGGCAAGCAAATTAGATTAAGCTCTGACTATTCAGAACAAACCATGCAGGTGAGAAGGCAATGGGGAGACATATACAATGCCCTGTAAGAAAAAACACTGTCAGTCAAGAATCGTCTATCCAGCAAAACTATCAATCAAAATGATGGTGCAATCAAAACATTTCAGGATAAACAGAATCTGAGAGATTTTATCAAAACCAACCCAGCACTTCAAAACATCCTAAAGGGAGTTCCGTGAACAGAGAACCAACAAGAACAGACAACAAACAGAGATTGACAGGTATGGCAATACCACCTGGAACAGAGCCAATAGATAGTGGAGTCCAGAACAGAACGAGACTACAACAACAAACTCAAAGGAACGGGGAGATCAACTGAAGGCCAAAAACATATCAATGTCAAAGAAGGGACAAACGCAGCAATGGAAACCCAGGTGGTGGGGATGCCAGGTAAATTACAGGTTACAATGGAGTATCCTAAATGCAGAGAAAAGTTAGTAGACTACAAAGTAACCCCAAAGAAAGTTAGCACTCTACAACATATCATAAAAACGAATTCCCAAACAGAACAAGCGAACAGAGAAACTAGGAAGAAACCAACCAGAAACAACTCAAAGAACATAAAGCCAACACAAGAAGGAAAGCAGAACCAAAGAACGAACAGCATCGCCAAAAAAGTAACATAATGACAGAAATCAATTCATACTTATCAATAATTATATTGAATGTCAATGGATTGAATGCACCAGTGAAGAGACAAAGAGTGACAGAATGGATAAGGAAACAAGATCCATCAATATGCTGCCTGAAAGAGACACACCATACACACAAAGACAAAAACAGACTAAAAGTTAAAGGATGGGAAAAAATTTACCAAGCCAACAATAGCAATAAACAAGAAGGAGTGGCAATATTAATCTCCGACCAAGAAGACTTTAAGATAAAAACCAGCATAAGAGACAAAGAAGGACACTATCTCATGATCAAAGTGTCAACTGAGCAAGACAACATAACCATAATAAACATATATGCTCCCAAAAAAGAGCACCAAGATACATGAAGCAAACCTTAATGGAATTGAAGAAAGAAATAGATAAATCCACAAGTATAGTGGGAGATTTCAACACACCACTCTCGAAAAGGGATAGAACAACCAGAAAGAAACTTGGCAATGCGACAGAGAAACTTAACAACACAATCAACCAACTTGTGCTGGCTTACAAGCTTTCAAGAGGGAACCTAGATCCACAGGGTGTAGAGGAAGGTAGAGTCTCCAGTGAATAGTATCCAACCTGTCTAGGAAGGGCTGATGAAAAGAAATGCAGATGGGTCTTTTGTGATGTAATAGTGAATAATTGTTATCAGGACTGATTGTGAGGATTGGAAATATAAAGGTGGACATTTTACAACAAGGAGGGGAGTGATTAACTTTTCAGTCTAGGAGAGGAGGGCCCTGGGACCATCAATGGAGAAGAGCGGAGAGCGGGACCCTACCCAGAGAAGCAGTGATGCCTGAGATGGAGGCAGAGACGATGATGCGGAGAGATGGAGTGGCTGGGTTTTGAGATCCAGAGAGGGAGAGGGGCTGTGTGCTAACAACCAGGGGGCAGGCTTATAGGGTATACCCTTTGGTTGGTTGATGATGCATGGACAGGATTGTAACTATGGCAATGAAACACTATATGATAGAATGAATGTAAAACTAATGGTCCCCCATGTAAACTATCACATAATTTACAATAAAACATTTATTTAAAAAAAAATTAAAATAAGGCAGTTAACCAATTATAAGTAATCATGTCAAAATAATTGGAAAATCAGTCATTAATATTAACAAGTCAAAGTTGTAAAAATTAGTTTTGGCTATAGAGACTTTCCTTCATGGGCTCTATCATGTTAATTCTTACACTAGTCATAATCATACAAGAAAAGTACCTGTTTTGAGATTAAATGTATTTGATGTTGAATTTACAATCACATCTGCTGCTTCTTTGATGATATCTCCAGAGGCCACCTGGAAGATGATGGGGCCAATCTTCATCTCATGCACTCCTAAATCAGGACTTGAAATAATCCCATAGAAAACTAAAAAGAAAAGGAAATGGAGTCAGTACCCAAGCCAACACCAATAAGAATGACTTAGCTATCTTGCTCCTTGAGTCTGTGTATCTGCCTATATTTCTCTCTCTCTTAGTGACTAATGGTTTTCATCTTGATCTTGACACTAAGATCTAAATCTGACAAAGAATTAGAAAATATAATAAATGTATAACATAGACTTATGGTGCTGGACATGGAGAAGTAAGTCCATTGGAGGCTCTCTCTCCTACTGATTACAACTAAAACCTCGGGATAAATTAAAAAAAAACACTACCTGAGGACTCTGAAAAGTCACAGCAAGAGGCAGATGGAGGAGGGGAGTCAAGACATCAAGAATCAACCTGAAGAGGGGTGAATACCCTTGTTATTGTTGTTGTTTGCTATTTTCTCTCCTACCTTCGGCTCAAGGGTGGCCCTTATTGCAGAAATGCACAGTAGGTGCACACAGCAAAATTTCCGAGAGAATCCCTATCCTAGTGACAAGAGCCCTGAGGAAAGGAATCCCTGTGAGCTGAAGAGTGTAAAGGAGAATCTCATTTCATTTTTCTCCCAGTTCTGCCCCAAAAGTGGCTCGCCCCCATTGCAGAATTCCACAGTGACAATAGGCATTCCGTATATCAAGCCAAAGAAATCAGGAGAAGGAATGCTGCACGCTGAGGAATATGTCTATGTGTCCCTATCATTATTTCCTCTCTCTCCACTTTGCCCAAGGAGAAGCTTGTCTTTCTTGTCAGAACACCTGAAATATGGTCCCCCTCAAGACAGAGTGTGTATGGAGAATACTAGAGAGAAGAGAGCTGGAAAAGGGGCTCCTCTGATTCTATGAACAGACTAGAACACTTCTCGGGATCCCCTCTGAGCTATGCATACAGGTAGTAAATCCAAAGCAGCATAGCAAAAGCTTTGAGAAATGAATTGACTTTTGAAACAGAAGGGGAGACAACTTAACCATTGGCCTGCCTGTGAAAACAAAACAGTACCATTCTCCAGAGGATTTTAACAGGACCCAGACTCTCACCATCTAGCCTAAAATCTAAAATTGCTTACCATACTAAAAACCGAGAAAATGTGACAAAGTCTCAAGGATAAAGACAACTGACAGATGGCAACTCCAAGATGATCTAATGTTGGAATTATCAGACAAAGACTTTAAAGCATCTACTATAACTATACATCATGAGGTCAAGAAAACAAAAGAAAAATAAAAACTCTCTCCATCTAAGTTGCAACTATTTAGCTCTCCCCATCTAAAGAAGAGTGAAGAAACTCAAAGATGCATGGAAACAATTAGTCCAAAAGCCTAATGGACCATGTGAACCTCATCCTCCACGATGCCGAGACAAGAAGAACTAGATGGTGCCCAACTACCATTGTCAACCACTATGAAAAGGGATCACACTAGGAGGAACTGGATAGAGTGGGAGAAACATATGGAACAAAACTCAAAAAAGACCAGGCTTACTGGAAGACTATGCTTCTTAGTCACCCTTCTGCCTGGAATTGATCTCACCCCCATGGCTGAACTTTCAGCCAAACACTAGACAAGTCTATATGGTAAGAAAAAAAAAAAAAAACAAAAAAAAACCACCATTTAGGTAAACACTTCTGAGAGCAATCAACCATACATGATCAAAAGGACAGCATTTGCTCATGGAAAGAGTTCAGAAGGCAAGAAGGGATAGGAATTAAGGACAAATGAAAACAGTAAACACAGGGAGGAAGTGAGAAGAGTGATTTTTACATTGTGGAGATTGCAATCAATGTCATGAAACAAAATATGTGTGAATTGTTTAATGGAAACCAATTTGCTCTGTAAACTTTCGCTCAAACCATAATAGAAAGTTATTTTTTTAAATAGCACTCTGAAGATAAATATAAATATGTATGCCTAGATAAACATGTATGTATAAAATATATGAAATGGGTATTTTAGAACTAAAAAAATATCTAAAGTAAAAGTTTACTGGATGGGCTCAATAGTATAGTGGAGAAGAGAAGTGAATCAGTGACTTGAAGGATGGTCAAGAGAATTAACCAATGTAAAGAAAAGGGGGGAAACATTTGTGGGCAGGGATAGATCCAGAGAGCAGATAAAAAATACAAAGAAATAATGATGGAAAACATTCCCAAATTTGATGGAAAACATACATTTTCAGATTCAAGCCTTGGAGATTCCCAAACAGGATAAAATGAAAACAGTCATTTCCACAAAATCAGTAAAGTTAGCAAAGGAGACTCATTTGATTGGACCTGCCATTCTAAATTTGTTTACTTCTCAAAACACATATCACATCATCTTTAGAAAGCAGTCTAAACACTGCTTTAAAAATGTTATATGGGTTTGCAATGCAGTGAATTACTTCATGTGGCTCTTCCACCCATAATCTTTGTAACTCCCATTAAACAGTATTTTTGCTTTACTTGGTCTAGGTGGGAAAAGATGCTGATAGGATTACATAATTTAATTGTCTGTGGCTAACACAGTTCATTGTGATTGTAAAAATTTGGAACTATACCATATAAAATGAGCCCTCTCAGAAGAAGAAGTGGAGGAATCTCACTACTAGCAAAAACTAAGAGCCAGGGATAGAATACATCCTATGGACCCCAAGATCCCTGCAGACTGAACCTCCTCAACCCAAGAATAGAGAGCTGTAATACCAGAGAAGTGGCTGAGGAGCCGTAACAGCAGAACCAAGAGCCAGAGCATGAGACAGAATGCTGATTTTCCCAGTCCACAGATGAGTAAAGCTGGGTGACTTTGGGTAGGAGGCTTGTTTGCAGAGTGGGGTGCCAGGCACTTAACTGAGGGGACTAGAGCTGAGTACTTTCCAGCTAAAGCATTTAGTAAACAATTGGTGTGCCCTATGGACATTTACCAACACCTCTAACAGAGCTTTATAATATTGACTGGGCAGAGAGAGGCCTGCCTATGGGCACAGCTAAGGAGAAGCTGTCCTGACAGCAAGAAGTGTAACATGAGTATTTCTGACCCTGAATTATAGCCTGTTAGCTTCCCTAATAACCCCTCAAACTGTGCGTATGGTGTCTGAGTCCTGTGTGGCCATTGCATGCATTGACTTATCAAATCCAGCAGAGAAAGAGTGCAGTGGGAGGGATGGCGTGGTGATATGTATATATATATGTGTGTGTGTATATATAGATATAGATATTTCCACTCCTCCACCCCCAGGATTATATAACTTGGTCTGTCTTCTCTTTTTCTCCAGATCACATGAGCAAGGCCAGTGTCCGGCATACTGAAGTGAATGAAATACACTAATTGACTTTTTAAATAAATATCATCATTACCTTCTTTCATCTATTACTGAATAGTTACTTAGCAACTGAATAGTTACTTTATCAACTGAAAAGTTTTATTCAACCTTGTGTATCTTCATCAGCCTTGGGAACTTTGTCAATGGCGAGATTTCCATTAGCTCTTCTGGCAAAGCTAGCTGAAAATACCTGAAAACAGAAACACAGTTTGACCACTACAATCCTCAGTAAATGCGTAAAGTTCATCATCAGTCTTTAGCTCCAGTATGCACACGTATTTAAAAAATTCCCTGTCACTGAGTTGATTCTAACTCTTAATGATAAAGTAGAACTGTCCCATAGGTTTCCAAGGCTGAAACCTGTATGGAAGTGGACTGACACATCTTTCTACCACGCAGGTGCTGGTGGGCTCAGACTACTAGCTTTTTTGGAAGCAGCAAGTGCTTTAGCCATTGTGCCACCAGTGCTCCTTGTATACATATTGGTTGTTGTTGTTGTTATGTGCCGTGAAATCAATTCCGACTCATAGTGACCATGCATAGGGTTTCCAAGGCTGTAAATCTTTACAGGAGCAGAAAGCCTCATCTTTCTTCCGTGGAACAGCTGGTTGTTTCGAACTCCTGACCGTGAGATTAGCAGCCCAAGAACAATTCTCGAACAATATTGTTTATTTTCATTGTTGAATTTCAAAATTATAAAAATACTTATTTATACAAATGTACCCTGAAAAAATTATCAGTGATGTGAAGAAAGACATAAGTAGAAGGAGGGTCATTACACTGCTACTTTAAAAGTTTTAAAGTTCAATAGGAAAGTGGTTAAATGTTGGTATATCCATGTGTTGGAATACTTAGCAGTCAATAAAAATAATTTTCAAAGAATATTGAGTGGAATAGGCAAATGTTCATTTTATATTAAATGAAAAAAGGAAGGATGTTAAATTATATTTACATTGTTGTTGTTGTTTGGTGTTAAGTGCCGTCAAGTCGGTTCTAACTCATACTGACCCCTCTTTATAGGGTTTCCAAGAAGTGGCTAGTGGGTTTGAACAGCTAACCTAGCAATAAGCAGTCCAGTGCTTATCCTAGGGCGCCACACCAGGACTTGCCTTCAAGTTGGTTCCAACTCATATCGACCCTATGCACAACAGAATGAAATATAGCCTGGTCCCAGACCATCCTCATGATTGTCATTATATTTGAGCGAATTGCTGCTTTCCCTGTGTTAATCTGTCTCCCTTCACTTTTCCAAGCATGAGCTCTTTCTAGGGACTGGTACCTCCTGACCACATGTCCAAAGTACGAGAGATAAACTCTTGCTATCCTCGCTTCTAAGGAGCATTCTAGCTGTATTTCAAGAACAAACAAGATCCATTTGTTTATTTTTCTGGCAGTCTGTGGCACTGTCAATATTCTTCACCAACACCATAACTCAAATGCATCAATTCTTCTACAGTCTTCTTATTCACTGTCCAACTTTTGCATGCATATGAGGTTATTGAAAATACCATGGCTTGGGTCAGGCACACCTTAGTCCCCAAACTGACATCTTTGTTCTTGAACACTTTGAAGTGGTATTGTGCAGTAGATTTGCCTAATGCATTATGTCTTTTGATTTCTTGACTGCTGCTTCCATGAGCATCGATGGTGGATTCAAGCAAAATGAAGTCTTTGACAACTTCAACCTTTTCTCCATTTAAAAAAAATTTTTTAACTGTTTTTTTTGTTTTTTTTTTTTTTTAAATAAAAAGGTTCTAATAGCTCAAGCAAAGCATATTTTAGAGGCTACATTCAGCATTTGGGCCAAGGCTGCTGTTTTCAACCTCTTTTCCAAAAAGTTTCATGTCTCTGTCACAAGACTCACCTACCCACCCATCCATTTCTCCTAAGTGCCAGGCACTGCATTAAGTAGTAGATGTCCAGCAGAGACTGATTACCATTCCTAACCACAAGGTCAGTGATTCAAACTCACCAGCCACTCTTCAGAAATTCTATACAGTGTCGCTATGAGTCAGAACCGCCCTGACAGCACTTAACAGCAAGAGCAACATTCTCAGTAATTAGTGTCTCTAATTTAATTAGTTTTATGCATATGTATCTTGTGACTTCCGGAGGAATTAAGATTTACATGAGGCAATGGAATGTGTTATAAAGCCTGTTCCATGGTCTACAACATTTCACATAATGCAAGTCACAGGGAGGTTATTCAAAAGCATTTATTAAATAGAAGTTATTACACAGGTCAACTAAATGGACTATATTTGTTGCTCATGTGGTCTGCCTTCCTGATTAGATTTAGGTTAGATTTATTTGTTTCCAAAGCACAAATAAAAGTGTGACCTAAAGGTTCAGGTGGTACAACTATATATGGAAATCTCTTGCATTGTAGGTCTTAATCTGTTTAATTTTTTCAATATCATGAAACTTTTCACAAATTTCATACCATCTATTCTATTGAATTGTAAGGACTTGGTGGAGAGGGATAACTGTTTAGATCATTAAACATTAAATGCCTCATCTGTCCAGCATGTAAGAAATTCTTAAGGAATAAAGTGCTCATGAGATTGCTAGACCAGACATACGTTGTTAATTCATACCAAGGATGAATTGGAGGGAAGGGGGAAAGAAATCTGTTTTAGGACTAGGAACTTTAAATAAGTTCTGGCTATGGGTCGGACCCGACTCAAAAGGCACTTAACAACAACAACAACAACAACTCTTAGGGGAGGGAAAATGGGATGTTCTGAGTCGAATTATAAATGGAGAACTGGAACTGGAGGAGGGGCTTTTTCGAGATAGGAGAATAAAACTGTTCGTGGCCTGGCCACACGGTACATCTACCCATGTCTACTGGGTTGGCCACCCGATTTTGCAAAATATAATAAAGAAAACTTCACTCTGGCTAAAATGAGTACAGATTGGGTGTGGACAACATTTCTAGCAAGTGTATCACCCACAGCTGGTGCTCATTAAAGGTAAGTTGGTTGATGGATTCTCTATAACTGAAGATGGTTCTGCTATTTCTGATTCCAACTCTACTACTCCCATCTTGATGTGGTACCTTCACTCTCACCATACCCTTCTGTTGCATCCCATCCTGAAACTTCCCTATTGATAAGCCTACACCTGTGCTTTCATATTATGTATTAAGATTTCCCTGTCCACATGGAAGGGAATTCTACAAATCAAAAAATTTGGATTTAAACCAATAGGGTGCAAAAATAAAATAAAGCAAAAGGAAATAAGTAATTTTGGAGATTTGAAACTTGACTCAATAATCGAGGAAATGAAAGAATCATTTGTCAGCTAATTTCAGGTATAGTGTAGTATTGTGGCTATATTTCTTTTTTTAACGGAATCTTTATTGCTTAAAATAAATACTCAATTATTTATGGGTGAAAAATATGTATGGGGTTTGCTTCAAAATAATAGGGAAGGAGAAGCATAAAGAGATAGAGCAGCCGAGGACTCTAGGCCCATGAAATGAGAAAGGCTGTGTGCCTGACGACAGGAGACTGGCTTGCAAAATGTGCCCTCTGGACATTTAAAATGAAAATATATTTTCTGTGTGTTTTGTATGCATCAAAAAAAAAGGGGGGGGCGGAGGTCGGAATGGTGGTAAATACTAGTAACTGATGGTACGTGGAGGGGATTGTAATCATTGCAATGAAACAGAGTATGATTTGTTGAGTGTAAAACTTACGATCTGTTTTTTAAATTATCACTCAATTCACAGTAAAAGCATTAATTTTTTAAAAATAAAATAATCTGTTTTTTAAATTATCACTCAATTCACAGTAAAAGCATTAATTTTTAAAAAATAAAAAAATACTCAATTCACAGTAAAAGCATTAATTTTTAAAAAAACAATAAAAAAGGGAGATGAATGAAGTTAGAGATGAAGCAATACTGTCCGTAATTGATTAATTTTTTAAATGGTGAGTGGTGGAAATAAGGAGGTTCATTATACATTTTATCCTATATTTATATATGTTTGAAATTTTCATTAATAAGAAGTAAAATTTTTGCTATATCCGTAAAATTTGTTTGAAATTTGTCATGCTACAACTGTCATACACTTACTGGCATACACTAACTACTTCCTTACATTTCTGTATGAACAATCTTGAAAGAAGCACTTTATCAGACCAAGACATTTGAGAACATTAGGATTTAGTTGGTTAAAAAACAACAACAAAAAGAAACAAATGAGACTGTACCTGAATATTTTCATCATCAGATGGGTGGAGCACAAAGTAAACGTCTTCTAAAGCTTTCAGTTGATTCTTGCTACTAAATTTGAACACTTCTGAAATGATTAATTCAGCAAAAATGGCTTTAGGAAATCCCAGATTTCCTGTTCCTATAGCTGGAAATGTAATTGACTTTAAGGACAATTTCTCAGTGACCTCCAAACATTCTTTGATTATGTCTTTCATAATCTGAAAAATCACAAAGCACGTGTTTGTTAGTCTCGGCTTAGAACAAGGAGTGAGAACAAAAGAACAATAATTTAGCAACTTTTGACTGTGATGTCTAGCGACTCCTTTTTGGTTTTAACAAAGATTATGGGCAGTCAGCAAGGGAAGAAAAAAATCCAAGGGTAAATGAGGAAAGGGAAAAGAGGACTCTTCAAAGCATTTGTACTCATTCAGCAATGATGCGGAGAACCGGAGCAACTATTGTTCTGACACTAAATTCTCTTCTACTCTTCACACACTCACTTCCTTTTCCTCACTGAAGTAGTATTTTCAATAACTTTTACCTAACTCCCAATAATTTATGAGTACTCTAATCAACTTCTACTATTATTTAGTCCTCCGGAGAAATCTAGGACAGCTGAAAGAAATGACCATAATAATAATGGAACATGTACAATGTGACATAACTACAAAAGAGTAACAGACATAATTCAATCTACAGTATATTGAAAGGAGAGTCCAAAGAATTACCCAGTTTTCTGGAGAATTTAAAACCAGCGCCTACCTTTATTGAAGTTGTGCTGCCATTTCTCCACTCTGGACACACCACGTGAAGCACACACTGGCAGTGCAGATTACAACCACTTGTTCTGAGAACTGAGCCCACGTTGACTATCATGCTTTGTCCGGATATGTTCAACTCATCCTGAAGCTTTGGCCCAGCTTTATCTAAGAGAGCCTTAGAAAGGGGCCCTCTACCAAGCTCCAGATCCAAGGGAATGGAATTGACAATAACCTTGGTCTTAAAGACAAAACGAACAATTGGTTCAGATTCTAATAAGCATTCATCAAGAATTATTTTATTTGAGCAACTAGTCTTGGCACAACAGGCGATGACTAAGATGTTTAGGGTTTCGTAGACCAAAATATAACACTGTGCAACAAATTAAGACCTATCAAAATATATATAAAATATTATATGACTGGTAAAGGAATCCAGAGAATAAGTGTTGTGGGTTGGATGTGGGGAAATTGTAACCCTTAAACACTGCTGATGGGAATGTAAAATGGTGTAGTTATTTTAGAAAATAGTCTGGGATCAAGATATTAAAGATATGTTACGCTATGACCCAGCTAGATATGTACTAGCTGGCTGTTGTTGTGTGCTTTGATTCATAGTGATACTGTATAGGGTTTCCAAGAGTGACTGGTGGGTCTGAACTGTTGACTTTGTAGTCACACCTACGGCACCACACCAGGGTTCATACTAACTGATTGTTGTTGTTGTTGTTGTTACTCCAAAGTATATCCCAAGAGAACTGAAGGCATATGTCTACACAAATACTTCTGCACAAATGTTCACAGCAATATTATTCACAATAGTCAAAAGTGTAAATACTGGAAAATGTAGAATATGTTGTAGTTGTTGTTATGTGCTGTCAAATTGGTTGACTCAAAGCGACTCTGTATAGGGTTTCCAAGGAGCATCTGGTGGGTTTGAACCACAGACCTTGTGGTTAGCAGTCTGCTGCTTATCCTACAGTGCTACACCAGGATTCCATTAAAAGAAATGAAGCACTGATACATGAAATAACATGGATGAACCTTGAAAACATTATGCTAAGTGAAAGACGCCAGATGAAGAAAGGACAAATATTATATGATTCCATTTATAGGCAATGACCAGAATAAGCAAATCTGTTGGTCAGAAATTAGAAATTGTGGCTGCCCAGGCCTGGCATCAGGACTGGACGAAGACTTATTAACAACTTGCGATATGCAGATGATACAACCTTGCTTGCTAAAAGCAAACAGGACTTAAAATACTGATGAAGATCAAGGACCACACAGCCTTCAGAATGACTTGCACCTCAATGTAAAGAAAACAAAAATCCTCAACACTGGACCAATAAACAGCAGGAGCCATACAAATGGAGAAAAGATTGAAGTTGTCAAAGACTTCATTTTGCTCGGATCAACCATCAACACTCATGGAAGCAGCTATCAGATCTGCTGTAGAAGACTTCTTTAAAGTATTGAAGAGTGAAGATGTCAATTTGAAGCCTATGGTGCACCTGATTCAAGTCATGGTATTTTCAATAACTTCATATGCATGCAAAAGTTGGACAGTGAATAAGGAAGACTGTAGAAGAATTGATGCATTTGAGTTCTGGTTTTGGGGGAGAATATTAAAAGTACCCAGGCTGCCAAAAGAACAAACCAATCTGTGTTGGAAGAAGTACAACCAGAATGCTCCTTGGAAGCCAGGATGGCCAGACTTTGTCTCTCATACTTCGGACGTATTGTCAGAAGAGACCAGTGCCTGGAGAAGGATGTCATGTTTGGTAAAGTGGAGGGTCAGAGAAAATGAGGAAGACCCCCAAGGAAATGGATTAGCACAGAGTGGCATCAGTGGGCTCAGGCTTAGTAATGATTGTGAGGTTGGTGTTGGCAGTGTTTCGTTCTGTTGTGCATAGGGTTGCTATAAACAGGTGAATAGGGAGTTTCTTTTGGGGGTGATGAAAAAACTCTAAAACTTATTATGGTGATGATTGCACAACTCTTTGAACATACTAAAATCCATTGAATTGTAAACTTTAATGGGTTTGGTATACACATTGTACCTCAATTAAGCTATTTACACAGAAGAAGGATGATTGTTAAAAACTCTTTCCTCAAGACACATGTGTTATAGAAATATGCTACACAGAGAGTATATTCAGGTTAAAGCAGTTACCATTGTGTCATATTTTACCACATTGCATTGGACACTGTTTGGATGGATGCTTAGAGGTACTTTTTCTTGTAAAACAAGTGAAGGCAAAGCATTTGGCAAATTTGTTCAATCTAGTTGATTTCATCTAATGTCTGGTAGAGCACAGCCAATTGCATTTCATTTAAAAGTAATGAAGGCAACCGACAGCTAATGTGTAGATAATTAGTTAGGACTTTAATCATTGTCTTGAATTCAGATCTTGATTAAAGCTTCCACTGAATTGCAGTTTTTGCTCTTGTACTAAGAAACCTGCTCAATAAATCTCCCTATTATGAAGAGTGGGGAGCAACTGGGGTGCAGGGTGGCAAGATGGGAATTCACCAAGCCCACCTCCCAGACTTTGTCTCTCTGTGCCCTGAGCACTCCCGCCCTCCAAGGCAGACAGGGAAGCTGGGGCTAATATTCACAGGAAGACACAACTAAGGTGCAGACAGTTATTAAAATACAGAGAAACATGTCTACTGGCTGCTGTAAATGGGCACTTCCCTGTCCCTTACTTGTGCTCACACACTATTATTCTTCCAGATCTTTCTCCCCCAGAACTCCCTAAAACTGCCAATTAAACAAGCATCACCTGGGAGAGTTAGGGCTTCCAGATGCTACTGTTTTGATTGGTCTGTGTTGAACTGGTCTATAACATTAGACCATCTTAAATACATTCTTTAGAAACATATAACCCCCTTGGCAAGTGTAGAACTGTCACTACATAATGCTCAGACCTTTACCAGGTCCACATTCCATTTTCTACAAAACCCCCTTTACTGGTGTTGAGTCCTGATGGTCCTTCAGACTCTGGACCCCAGGCTCACCCTTCTGCAACTCCACTCGCAAGGTTTCTGTCCTGTGCCTATCCCACATTCTAATTTCTCTGTATCTGTCCCTTGTAAATTTGATGAGACATTAACCTCAGATTTGCCACATATGACAGCAGAAAAGTCACTGAAGAAGCAGAGAAAGTCTTGCAAATATAAGGTGTTAGTATAATCTCATATTTACTGGCAATTTGATCTGAATATATTTATGTTTCCCAGAAATAATTGGCCAATATTTTAGTAAATGGTATGGTGAGGTTGTTCACTTATGCAAGTGAGCCCCGTTTCAAGCTAGGGATGGATATCCCCATAGAATATGGTCTTATCTTTGACCCCACATGAAAGGGCAAAGGGCCAGTTGGAGGTCCTAGACCCTTGGTGGAGTCTGTGAATAGAGACACTCACCCTCACATCCTGCACATGTCCTTCTAGCAGATGGATCCTCAGGCCTTCGGGGGACAGCAGAGGGTTGCTGTTCCCAAGATCTGTTCTCATAGTGGGTTGGTTCGCTGTTGGTACACTGTGCAGAGAAACATTGCCAGACACTGTATCTTTAAACATAGTTTTCACAATTTCAGCAAAAGCCTCGACAGTCTTCACAGATACATCCACAAGGTAAATCTCTTTCAAGGTGCTTCCCTTCCTGTTGTACTGGAAGGTTTCCTTAATGGCCAAAACAATGGTCTTCACACATTGATGTAGGGGGAAGCCAAAGACTCCGGAGCTAATAGCTGGGATGGCTATGGACTTGTACCTGTGTTTTTCAGCCAACTGAAGACTTTCTTCCACTACTCTCCTTAACAGGAACTCACACTTTGGGGCCTCATTCACCCGCCACCTGGGCCCAACTGCATGGATCACATGATAGTATGGGAGCTTTCCCGCTTTTGTGATGACAGCACTGCCAGCTTGGATCTTGCCCTTCATCTTCACTATATCGTCACAATTGGATTGGAGTTCAGGGCCAGCAGCTTTTAAAAGAGCACCAGCAAGGCCACTGGTATGCTCAAGGTTCTCATTCGCTGCATTCACCACCACTTCTACGGGAAACCGTGTCAAATCACCCTTCTGAACCAGCAGTGAGACTCCAGGAGCCAGCTCTGCCCAAGCATAGCACCGCTTTCCACCTGCATCGTCATCCTCCTTTTCCTGATCTTTATGTAGCTCAATAAAACAACCAAACTGCCGCCTCGCCTCACCTTTATAATACCGTTCTTTATCCTGGAAGAAGTCACTAGCTCCAGGCTTATCAATACAGATGCTCTTAATATAAATTGAGTCCTGGAGTTCTTGGATGATCTTTATTCCCTCCAGGACTTTGGTCTTTGGGCCAGTGAGTACAATGCCTTTTTGCTTGTTTTCTGGATTGAAATTTAAACGCACATCTTTCATTTTTGACCAGATTGACTTCTTTTCTGTCTTTAAATACTGAGCAAGTAAGAAAGGCTTTATTTCGATCAATCTCTCTATTTTTGTGTGTTTCTCTACAAAGTCAAAAAGCAAGTCATAGACTTCATTCACTTCCCTTACACAACCGGTAATGATGACTTGAGCTGTGGTGTCTGAAGTTAACTCATCGATTATTACAGTTTTTGAGGAGGAATTATGTTTCTTATGCAAATTGAGAATGTGCCCTTTCCATCTCTTATCTTTAAGAACTTCCCTGTCCTCAACTTCAATGCATTTATAATTAAAGGCATTGGCCACTTGCTGTTCAGCTTTTAATAGATCTTCAGGAGAACAACTGGTTAGGAGTACACCTGCATGCTCTAGCTCATAAACTGCAAAGACCTTCTTTGCTATAAAAAGAGACTCAGAGAATTCTTCAGAGTTTACCTGCTTCAGAAACTGGAAAATCTCATGGGTAACCTGGATGCTTTTCTGAACCAAGGTGTGTACCTGTTCCTGAATTTCACACTTCAATTTATATACATCGGCTTGGAGCCCTTTAAGGAAAATGTGTCTAGTGTCTGCATCGTAAGAAATCTCTACTTCTGAACACACTTTATGTAAACGCTCCAGTAAACCATAATGTCTCAAAAGAAAATATTTTCCTGGAGAAACTGACACTTTTTCCTTCAGACTTTGCTTTTCTCTCCTAATTTTTTGGGTGATCATTTCTGTTGAGTTCCTGATTTGTGGCTCAATGCTTTGTACATTCTCTGATTTCCCCACAATGATTACAGTTTCCTCAAGTGTATCATACTCAATCAAAATCTCATCATCTTTGAAATCGTTTTTGATGGTGTCCCACACTGTTGGCTCCACTTGAAATGTGCTAACTTGAAATTTAGATGTGACTGCAGAGAATGCTGTGGAAGCATCTTCATCCCAGTTATAGATTTTCTGTCTTCCTTGATTGATTAACGTGGCTGCAGGTCTAATGGTGACAACACCATCATGTAGGAGCCATGTTAGCTCACAATGGCAATGTCCCATGTCACTGTTTATTTTTTCAATCAGTTGATCCTTCTTCTGTATGAACTTACACACAGGAAGAGGTAGTGGCACTTCCAGTGGTGCTGGCAGCTTGATCAGAGGTTTCTCCTTGCCATACAAGGCTGTGCCCAAAGAAGGATAATACGGGAACACAGAAAGCGGCATGTTATTGAAGACAAGTTTCTTGGTCATGATGGTGTCCAACACTTATAAGAAAAGAAATGAAAATAAATCAATTTCACTGAAGTATTTATATATATAATTTTTAAAGTGATGTTGAGTCAGTTCTGACGCATAAAGATCCTATACAGGGGTTCTGTTATATCCTAGGAACATCCTCCTAGGAACAGACAACCTCATCTTTGTGCAGAGCAGCTGGTGAGCTCAAACCTCTGACCTTGTGGGTTGCCGTCCAGTGCCTATCCTACAGATTCACCACTCTCCTGTGGTATGTATTAAATGTATAGTCTTTCCTATTTGAGAAGGAAAAATATTGATGATAGTTAAGGTCGTGTATCAACTTGGCTGGGACAGGATTCTCAGTGGTTTAGCAGCTAAGATACAATTATCACCTCCATGATGAGAGTGACAAGTTCTGATCTGATTGAATCCTCCCTTCCGTGATGTTAATGAAGTCAGATGTAACCTACAGGAACCTACTTCCTACCACCAACTAGAAGAGCTAGGAGCGTATCCTTTGGACCTGGGATTACTGCGTTGTGAAGTTCCTAGTTCCAGGGGAAGATTGAGGGCCAAATATATGGAAATCCCCAAGGGCTTATAGGTACTGAAAGGAGCCAAGGACTTTTCCCCAAAGAGAAAGCCTCCTAAACTGTGAGAGAATACATTTCTGGTTGTTAAAGCTATCCACTTTTGGTATTTTTGTTATAGTAGCATTAGATACCTAAGACAAAATTCTATTCTATGTTTGAGGTACTTTGATCTTATGATATATGAGAAAATTTGTTGTTGTTAAGTACCATTGAGTCGGTTCCAATTCACAGCAACCCTATATAGTGTTTCTAAGGACCGACCAGTGGTTTTGAACTGCTGAATTTACAGTTAGTAGTCCAGTGCTTGTCCCACAGTGCCACACCAGGAATTCATATGAGAAAATAACACTTAATTAGTAATACCAGTTGACACTCAAATATTACCTGGTATGTCCTGGTTTGGAGTCCTGGTGTGGCACTGTGGGTTAATGCGCTGGACTGCAAAGTTGGTTTGAACTGCAAGGTCAGCGGTTCAAGCTTACCAGCTGCTCCTTGGAAACCCTAAACACAGTCGCTATGGACCGGAACTGACTTGACGGCACTTAACAACACCAACAAATGTCCTGGCATGGCACCATAGGATAAGCACTCGACCTCAAGGTCAATTTGAACTGCAAGGATGGTGATTCAAACCGACCAGCTGCTCCTCGGAAACCGTATACAGGATCACTATGAGTCAGTACCAACTCGATGGCATTAACAACAACAACATATATTACAAGTATATCAGAGCAAAACAAACAAAAAAACCAATATTACTATCTATTCTGTCACATTCTGACTCATAGCGACCCTACAGAACAGACTAGAACTGCCCCATGGAGTTTCCATGGCTGTAAACTATGGAAGCTGACAGTAGCATCTTCCTCCCACAAAGTGGCTGGCCATTTCAAATTGTTGACCTTTGGGTTGGCAACTGAGCACTTAATCAGTGGCCACCAAGGCTCTTAATAGTGCATAGATATCCTTAAGGAATTCTGGTGGTGCCGTGGGTTAAATGTTGGGCTACTATTCAAAAGCTTGGCAATTCAAACCCACCAGCCACTTCATGGGAGGAAGATAAAGTAGTCTGATTGTATAAAGGTTTACAATCTCAGAAGCCTATGGAACAGCTCTTCTCTATCCTATAGAGTCAGGATGAGTCAAAATCGACTCCAAGGCAGTGGGTCTATGGGAGATTGTTAAATAAATCATTTTTTAAATTCTTCTGATATTACTTATATATCACCACCATATAAGAAATATGGGAACGTACAATGGCTCTATAGGATAAGCACTGGACTGTGAACCACAAGGTTGGCGATCTGAGTCCACAAGCTGCTCTGAGGGAGAAAGATGAGGTTTTCTGCTCCGACAAATGATTTAAAGCCCCAGAAACCCTATACAAAGTTGCTATGAGTCAAAACTCACTTCATGGCAATTAACAACAACAATACTAAGAAATATATATATATGAGTTTGGTGACAAGCATGAGAATAATGTTTTCCCCAGTATAAAGATGATTCTGATGTTCAAAGCAAAGTTTATTAAGTATCATGCTATTTGTTTCTTCTTGTACAATCCCACAATTTTAAGCTTCATAAATGACTTAGATTCTACTGATATCTCCAAAAAGGAAAGGATAGTAATAATAACTATAGTTTAGCATGGTTCAGACACTACTCTAAGTGCAAGGGTAAGTGAAAAAGTATTATTACAAAATCATAGAGACTTTTTAAAAATAAAAATATCAAAATATAAAGCTACTGTTTCTTGACATAAACTCCATCTAGGCTTATACACACTGAAGGAGGTGTTTCCATATCTCTAATCCTTGTCAGAATTCTGCATTCTTCAATTGACACCACATCAAAATGGCAGTGTCAGCATCCTCAAAGGACTTGACTTGTGTCCCTTTTAAATGTTCTTCAAGGTTGGGAAACAAGAAGAAATCTGATGGCACAAGATTAGGAGTGGAGGGCGTACATGGTAAAATTTCTCAACAAAATTCTCATAGGACAGTCCTTGCAACCTCAAAGAATGAACAAGTGCATTGTCATGATAGAAAAAAAAATATCCTCAGCACAACTTTTCTGACCTTTTTCTCACCAAAGCAGGTTTCCATTTTCTTAAAATCCCTTCATAATAAGCCACTGTGATCATCCTGTATCCTTTAAGAAAATCAATCAAGATTTCCCCCTTGGAAATCCTAAACAATAGTAGATATAACCTTCTGGGCTAATCTTGCTGTCTTAAATTTACCTGGCCCAGAAGATCCCCTCAGAAATCATTGTTTTAATTGAATCTTTTTTCTTTACAGCACCCTAATGAGACTAAGTCTATAGCCATACCCCCTGAAAGCGCCCGATTTCGTCTGATCTTGGAGGCTAAACAGCAGGGTCAGGCCTAGTTAGTACTTGGATGGGAGACCGCCTGGGAACACCAGGTGCTGCAGGTTTTTGTTTATGGAATCCTGGTCTGGCGCTGTGGGTTAACGCGCCAGACTATAAAGCCGTTTGAACTGCAAGGTTGGCAGTTCAAACTTACCAGGCTGCTCCTCAGAAACCCTATACAGGGTCACTATGGGTTGGAATCGACTCGACAGCACTTAACAACAACAACTGTGAGACTAAGACAAGTGTATTGCTATGAGAACTTGTCTGTAGTCATCCACTGATTGAAGAGACATGTTTAAGCACGTTTTGTCAAGAATAAACCTGTGCATGTATGAACTGGAACCCTAGTAGCATTACTATTTTACTTGCCCTCATACCTTACATATATTTAATTCATTTAATCCACAAAAAAAGCTTTGAGGTACATACATTGTTGTTATCAGCCATATTTTACAAATGAGGAAACTGGGACTTAGAAAGGTTAAAAACTTGAGCCTGTTATATGGATTATCAAAATCTAAATTAAGATTTCTATCAGTGCTGATCACATGTCATGGGAGATGATTATATCATTACATAACTGCCAAGCCAATGCAAATCATGGCCCATCAACTTGACACATATTTTGGGGAAACAAAATTCAATCCATGATAGTGGCTAGATCACTAACTAGAGGGTTGTTGTTGTTATTAGGTGCCATCGAGTCGGTACCGACTCATAGCAACCTTATGCACAGCAGAACAAAACACTGCCCGAACTAGAGGGTAGATACATATTAATTTGGGTGAAGGAAAGGCAATATACCATAATGAAGGGGTCAACATAAAATGATCAAGACAAAGGAAGACCACAAGAGTTAAAGGGAACAGAGGTAAATACTATTACATACACAATCTTGCAGTAACTGTAATAACAGTAACCTATGAGTGAATGTATAGTTAGACACACAAGCTGAACAAGTGTGGGAAGATGAATGGGACTACATCCATAAACATGTATAGGTTTAATAAAGGCTATTTCTACATATGTATTTATATGTGCAGGCGTCCTGATAGCACTGTGGGTTGAAGTGTTGGCCCACAAGATCACTAATTTAAACATACCAGCTGCTCTACAGGGGAAAGATGAGGCTGTCTGCTCCTGTAAAGATTTATAGCCTCAGAAATCCTAGTTCTACTTTGACCTATGACTTGGAATCAACTCGATGTGAGTGAGTTTGTTTTGCTTTGTTTTGTTTATTTTTATGTGTTGCAAATATATCCATGAATACATTGCAGAATATGCAGGGGGCAAGGAGTTGTGGCACTGTAGGATAAACACTGGACTGCTAACTGCAAGGTTGGCAGTTCAAAATCACCAGCCACTCCTTGGAAACCCTAAACAGGGTCACTCTGAGTCATAATTGATTCAACAGCACTTAACAATAGCAGAGTTCTGAAAACTTCTTAGGTAGACCAAACACTTGGAGGGAATGAGTCACTGGGCCTGGGGCTCAGGACCATAGACTCAGGGGATATTAGGTACAATTAGCACAACACAGTCCACAAAGAAAATATTCTACATCCTATTTTGGTAAGTAGCAACTGAGGTCATCAAAGCTTGTGAGTGACCATCTAAAGTTCAATTATTGATCTCTCTCCATTTGGAACAAAGAAGAGTGAAGAAAACGGAATACACAAAGAAGCAATTAGTTCAAAGTACTAATGAACCACATGGACCTGAGGTTCCATAACCCTAAGACCAAAGAAAAAGACGGTGGTGCCCTGCTACCCTACTGAAAGGAACCAGGATAGAAGGTTCTGCATAGAGTGAGAGAAAAATGTGGACAAAACTCAACATTATAAAAAAGACCATCTTACTGGTCAAATAGAGACTGATGGAATGCCTAAAACTATGACGCTGCGTCATCCTTCAAGTTTGGAACTGAACCCACCCACAAGGCTCAACTTCCAGCTAAACAATCAACAAGTCTGTAAAATGATCAATAACATCAGGGAGGTACACTTTTAGAACAATGAACCCTACAGATCAAAAGGGTAGTATTTGCCCAGGGACAGAGTTCAAAGGGATAGGAAAGAAGAATGAATTGAAATGAGTACTGTTACATTGTGAGGATTGCAATCAATACCATTGTAATAATGAAGGTTTTGTGTCAACTTGATTGGGCCAGGATTCTAGTGGTTTGGCTGTTGAGATGTGGCTATCCCTCATGATGTAATTTGATGTGATAAACCAAGAAGAAAAGTGGGGATGGGATGCACCACCCTTAATCTCCTCACCACCTGATCTGGCTGGCTTACAAGCTTTCATGAGTGCGCTTATGAGATTATGTGTTTCAGAATTAGGGGGGTAAGGTAGAATGCCCATTGAATAGTTTTCCTCTTATCCAGATAGGTCTGGTGAAAGGGGATGGGGGAGGATGGGGATAAGATTCTTGAGACTCAATAGTGAATAGTTGTTATCATGACTAATTATGATTGTCACAATATAAAGGAAGAATATGTGAAACAAAAAGGAAGGAGCAGTTAATCTGTCATTCCATGAACAGAGGGCCCTATGACCATCACAAGAGAAAAGCATGAGCGAAGCAAGGGATCCTAACCTCTGCAACAACAGCAGAGACAGAAACAGAGGCGATGGCATAGAAAGATAGAGCAGCTGAGGACTCCAGACCCACGGAATGAGAAAGGTTGTGTGGTGGTGTGCAGGAAGCTGCCTTGCAAAATGTGTCCTTTGGTCATTTAAATGAATATATATTTTCTGTGTGCTTTGTGTACATCAAAAAAAAAGTGGGGCGGGGGAAGGAATAGAGGCAATACCATAACAGATGGTACATGGAGGGGATTGCAATCATTGTAATGAAACAAATTATGATTGGTTGAGTTGGTTGAGTGTAAAACTGATGATCTTTCCTGTAAACTATCACTCAATTCACAATAAAAGCTTTCAAAGGGGGGGTGGGGGGTGGGGTTCTTCTAAGTATCACTAAGAAACTATTTTAAATGAGTGGCATACCACATGACCCAGCCTTTTGCCTCCTGATTAATCTCTAAGCCTGGTTCCCTAATTCTTATTTCTCAGCCTCGACTACTGAACACCAGTGGACCTCCCAGCTGAATTGACATATGCCTCAGAGAAAGAGCAGTCTATGTCTACAGACCCTCATTAAGATTTCCCCACAGTTTAGATGGACATGGTTCTCACAAGCTCACCCTAAATGGCAATTGCACAGTAGTTAGACAGTATTTTAAAGATTCTAAAGATTACACAGACTTCTCAATCCATCACAAGGAGAGAATCTCATGAAGGAATCTCCCTATAGCTTCCAAAAATTTGGTGTCGCTGTCTTTGTAAGTTTGAATCACTGAACATTATATCTCAGATATACACATGTGAATAAACAACTAAATAAATAAAATGCATCAGAATTCAGTTGACAAGTCCTGGTGTGGCACTGGATTGCTAACTACAAAGTCGGCAGTTCAAACCCACCAGCCACTCCTTGGAAACCCTCTATAGGGTCGGTATAAGCCAGAACCAACTCAACAGCATTTAACAACAGCAACAACAATTATGCCAAGTATGATTTTATCAAATCAGGCTAATAGATATTACCTTTTCTGTCAGAAAATTCAATCAGAGCAGAACTTTCTCTTGGTAAGTATTTAACACTGTCCACAGTTCCTCCTCCATGTTTGGGATTTTCAAAGAAAAGTGTTAAATAATATTCTTCAACACCAGGTGGCAGGTTTTCAACTCTTAGGACTCTGGTCACTTCCAGAAGTCTGACAGAAATGTTAAGGTGCTTAGCTGAATGGTATCTGAAACAATCATCAATAAATTTCCTGGTGTCTACAAAAAAAGATATTAGAAAATTGTAATAGTGTTTTTGTATTATATAGAAGACAGTGTTTGAATATTAACTAAGATAAAATAAAGGGCAAGCTTAATTTAAGATGTGCATTCCTATGTGAGAATTTATGCATGTCAATCTCTTGATCTCTACACCTTACACCTTCATTTCATTTGCACATAGGTTTCCCTCCCTGCTCTCAGGCTGTGAATTCCTCAAAGGCAGGAACCATTACTCACTGATAACACATATAATATTGAAACCAGTGTCTGGCACATAGTAGAGGCTCAATATTTTTGATCAGTTAACAAAAGCAAGTTCATTCAGTTTTACCTTCATACGAAAGAAACATAAATTTGAAATAATAGCAGCTCCTTTTACTCAGTCCTTACCATGTGTAGGGACTATATTATGTGCTTTTCATTAATCCTCACAAAAACGGCATTTGGTAGGTATTATTAACCCGGTCTCAAGCAAGAAGTAACTTGGCCAACCTCATATAACTATTTACATGGCAGAGCTGGAACTTTGTGCTCTGTTCCCAAGGTCTGAATTAGCCACTCTGCTGTCGTGACCATGGAACCATGTTGGGTTTGGAAGTTTTCTTTTCTTGTAGGTGGAGGTGACATTCTTCAGTCTCAGAGATTGTCCACAGACTCCCTTCAATGACCTTAAAGTGCATTCGTATTTTTGCATCAGATGTACTTAATATTTCTGCATATGTGAATGCCCACTAAAGTACTGAGAAAATACATGACAAAAGGAATAAGAGCTAAGCTGCCTGGGTTCAAATCCCAGTTCTTCCATTTATTAGTATCTCTGAGTCTCTGTCTTTTCAACTGTAAATTGGGAATAATAATAATAATCTCATAAGGCTTTTGAAAGGAACAAATGAATTAGTACATGTAACAAGTTTAGCATAGTTATCTGATTTATAGTAGTTCATTTTGGTAATACTGATCCATATTAACTTTTCCCAATGAGATAACACAGGTGAAAATGCTAAATGCACAAGTTGGAATTACTTTAATAACTTTAGATTTCTTTTAGGGTTTGATAACACACACACACACACCATCAAGAATTCATATGATAAAGTTACATTATGTAATAAGTATACCAGAATTTCGTTTTTAAATAAATTTCCTTTTCTTTCAAAATAACAAAAAGCATCTAAGTAAATTGAAGTCCTGGTAGGAGGTACTAAAAAGAGTCAAACTTTCAGACATGTTCCATTATCTGGGTATCTCAAATCCCAACCCATTTGCTGTAGAGTCAATTCTGACTCATACAACCCTATAGGACTGAGGATAACTGCCCATACAGTTTCCAACAATGGAATCTGTATGAAAGTAGACTACTATATCTTCTCCCACAGAGCAATTATGGGTTCGAAAAACTGCCAACCTTTCTATTACCAACCGAGTGCTTAAGCACCATGCTATCAGGGATCCTTCCCAAATTCCAAAGAAGACTGGTCACTGAAGTGTCATTTGTTCTTACCTAAATGCCTGTGAAAGGTAACTACACCAGCATGAATATCTTGTATTAATTCCACTTGAAAGTCATTATTGTGTGCTGACAGGCCACTTATGTTCTCCACAAGCAATGTTAGCACAATGTCACTCATACTTTCTTGGAGATTTTCAAATGCAACCAAAGATGAAATATTTTCTGGGATAGCTTCCATTTTTTCAGCTGTTCTATTGAGAGAGAGTTCTGTGTCTGGTTCTTCTGATATATCTGAGTCTAGGGAGGCAAAAAGGGTACAAGAGATTATATTGCCTACCATAGTCTTAACAGAGTAAGCTCTTATAAGACACTGCCCTCTATCTTTCCCAGTGCCTTCACTAGCAAAATAAAGCAGATCTTAAAAGTTTTCTGCTTTATTTAATTAAAATTAAGTGTTGCATTTATATGTTTTTTTTTTTAATTATTATTATCAGGTCAAGTTCAAGTTTATTACAACCTTTCTGCCTATCTCTCTGACAGATCTGCCTTGTTCTTGTTGTTATGTGCCATTGAGTTGGTTCCAATTCATAGTGACCCTATGTACAACAGAACGAAACACTGCCTGGTCCTGCGTCAACCTCACAATCACTGTTACTGCTGCTGCCGCTTGGCCAATCCATCTCATTGGAAGTCTTCCTCTTTTTCTCTGACCCTCCACCTTACCAAACATGGTATCCTTCTCCAGGGACTGGTCCCTCCTGACAATATGTCCAAAGTATGAGAGACGAAGTTTGGCCATCCTGGCCTCCAAGGAGCACTCTGGCTGCACTTCTTCTAACACAGATCTATTGGTTCTTTTTGCAGCCCATGACACTTTCAATATTCTCCTCTAACACCATAACTCAAAAGCATCAATTCTTCTAT